ATATCAACAACATATGGGATATTGTTCCTTTATCAAAGGACAAGAAGGTTATATATTGTAAGTGAATTTACAAAGTAAAATATAATGTTTATGGCTCTTTGGCCAAAAGAAAAGCCAGAATTTTGTTCGTTAATTTACAAAAGAAGTAAGTATAGATTTTCTTAACACTTTTTTCCCAATTGCTACTATCACTATTGTTAGACTTTTTTTATCTCTTGCAAACATAAAACAGTGGACGTTCATACAACTATATGTCCAAAATGCATTTCTAAATGAATATCTAGATGAAGAAGTTCATATGAAAATACATCAGGGTTATAATTTAAAACAACAGGATCAAAGTAACCTTGTGTGCAAACTGAATAGATCCTTATATGGCTTAAGACAAGTCTCACGTTAATGGTTTAAACATTTTTCTACATCCTTACAATCTCATGGATTTATTCAATGCAATAGTGATTATTCTCTTTTTAGATTTGGTAGTGCAAATAACATTGTTTACTTATTAGTGTACGTTGATGATATTATTCTTGTATGGCAAAATTTAGATTCTTTAAACAACTATCAAACTCTTCTCCAAAAATTGTTCAAACTAACCATTGTAGGAGACTTGAAGTTTTTACTAGGTTTGAAAATTGTGAAATCAAAACAAGGCATTCACTTGTGTTAACGGAAGTACATTCTTCAACTTTTAGCTGACACAGGTTTCAACTTTTAGCTGATCAAGTATTAAATTCAGCTAAACAAAAGGAATTGAAATTGATTCAAATAGAAATTAAAGAAAGAGTTTAAAAATAAAAAAAAAACACAAAGAATTATACTGGTTCACCCAAATCACAGGGTTACGTCCAGTTCTCAACTAAAATTTCAGTTAAGTTCCCCTATATTGAAATTATTTTGAGTACAAAACAAAATTACAAAACAATCAACCTATTCAAAGAACCAAAATCCAGTTTTTGAACTAACCTGTAACTAATTTCCAACTACAGAACCAATGCCCAAACTTCCAAGCACTTTAGACAATAATGAATTGAAAAAGAATGAAGGAAGAGACTTAGAACAATCAAACTCGATTTATGCAGATGCAAAGATTCCACTAGATTGAGATTTTTCACTAGCAAGAACACAAAAAGCCTTAAAAGGAAACTTTGAAAATTCTTCACTAAAAGTTGCGCACTTCTTTCTTGAATGATCTCTATAATTGGTTGAATGATTTCGCAAAAAAGTGTGTTTTAAAAAGCTCAAACAAATATGTTTATATAGAGACATTTTGTAACTAATTGGTTCATTTAATCGATTAAATTATCTTTTAATCAATTAATAATTCTTGATTCTAATTGATGAAAATAACATCTAATCGATTAAAATGATTTTCCTCATTTTTTAAAATTATTTTAACTGATAAAAATACGTTTTAATCGATTAAATATTTATTTAAAATATCCTTAAGTGATTTTAATTGATTAATTCGAGTTTTAATCGATTAAAATACTGTCAGAATATTTTCTAAAACTTCTTAAGTAATTTTAATCGATTAATTCAAGTTTTAATCGATTAAAAATATTGGCATAATATTTTCTAAAACTTCTCTAGTGATTTTAATCGATTAATTCGAGTTTTAATAGATTAAAATACTGTCAGAACATTTTTCAAAAAAAATTAAATGCTTTTAATCTATTAATTCAAAGATATATAAGTTAAAATAGTGACGAAGGTTTTTCAAAACTTCTTATATGCTTTTAATCGATTAATTCGAAAGTATATTGGTTAAAATAATAACTGTACATGCTGTAAGTAGTTTTAATCGATTATTTTAAAAACATATAAGTTAAAATAATGACAGAAGTGTTTGTAACTATTTTTAATCGATTAAACTACAAATTTACCAGTTAATTTTAATTTTGAAGAACATATTAACCAATTAATAATATTTTTAATAAATTAAAAGATTTAAAGGTATTTTTAATTTTTTTTAATGACAGAACCTTATTCAAGTAGAAATTAAAAGATGATTATACCTATTAAAACAAGTTACATACTCACTAATCACTACATCCTATAACCTATAAATTCTCTAACTTGAACAAGTCTTCACTTATTCTAAAAATAATTTAACTTCATCAAATTGGATACTAATTAGGAAAGTTGTGTTAACAACCGAATATCCACCAAAGATTTTTATATCTCTACGGGAAGTTCTCTTCTATCCTATAAATAGTTTGTAGATCTTCAACAAAAATTAAATACAAAATTATTATTTCAATCATTTTAAAATTGTTATGACTTAAATAATTTCTTCGATTCTAATATGTTATGTTATAATTTTTCTATTGTTTTTTTTTAACAAATCCTATATCACATCAAATATCAAAACACATTGACCTTAGTATCCATTTTGTCAGAAAACATGTTAAATCTGATTTCATACGTCTCATTTATGTTAAATCACATCAACAAATAATTGATGTTTTTATTAAAGTTCTTCCACAACATAAATTTCATTATCTGATCATTAAGTTCACTCTCAAAACATTTTTCTCCAACTTAATAGGATGTTAGATATATCATAGTGTTTTGGTGTATTTAATTAGTTTTCTCTATATCATAGGATATATACTCTTTTACGTCGTTAAGTTTTATCAATTATTTTTATTCTCTATCTTGTTTTTGTTTATATGCACATTTCTATTTTAACAACTCTGATTTTTTATTTTTTATCCTAATCCAGACAAAAAGTAGTGTTTTTATTTAAATGTGTTTTGTCACATTCTAGTAATCACTCTTGATCACCGTATGTAAGGAACTGGAAATTACTGTTTAAGTGAAACCTGGTTCTTTAATTATGTCACATAGAGAAGAGGTGCATATCCCAAAGTAACAACACAGCAATTTTACAATTAAATTAACCTTTTTATTTATTATTTTTTGAGAGAATAAAAAGTTGTTACAAGAGCTACGTGGAAACTATTTAATGTTTTCAAGAGTTACTCTTTTTTTTTTTTTTTAAAGTAACCAAACCAAAATAGAGTAAAATCCTTACAACAAATTAACACATGTTTTATTTAGTGAGAAAGTAAAAAGTAAACTCTTTTCAGAAGATTCATGCTTCCCCTGCTGGCGGCGCTGGGTCAATTATCATTCTGTACACTAAATTACTATTTATTATTTAATATTTATTTAAACCCTTTTTATTATGGGAATAAAGCAAACAACTACAATTTCATATAAATGTCTTCGATTGAACTTTAGAATAAATTTAAAAAGTTAATTATTTCAAAATAAAATATACTCTCCTATTCTTTTTCTTTGGTCCAATGTTAGTCTCTCTCTATATACAGTTTTATTTTGATGTTGATGCTAAATTAATAGTAAGGCCCATTTCGAATTGTGTATTTGGATGCAAACTCGGCCGAATTGCATGTCTCGCTTAGAAAGCCCAAAAGAAGACGTTGAGCTTCGTTTGACCTACTGTCTTGCGGATGTTTATCATTTTCTTGTGTTTAATTAATTACACACTTGTGATGTGTTTTTTTTTATTCAAATATTTTTTTTAAGTTTTAAATTTTATTAATTACTCATTTATTAATTATTGGTTGTCTTTTTAATTATATAATTATAATACTTTTTTTAAATCAAAATAATACTAAGATAATAAATATAATTAATAAAAAGATAATCAAATTTATTGAAATATAATAAAAATAATATTTTTTTATCTATGTAACTCGATTCCAAATATAATATATTTTTAAATAAGTAATTTATTTAATTTTTCTTTTGAATGCTACATAGGTAATTTATATTAACATATTTACGTTTTAATAATTTATAAATTTGATCATTCATTTTAAAAAATTAAATAATATATTATCAATAAATAATAAAAAATGTAAAAAAAATATATATTAAATTTATAAATATATATATTTAATAATCATTAAGTTTTAAAAGATTAAAATCATGAATATTATTATATATTATAAAACATTAGAAATAATATTTTAATTTAAAGTTTAAATTATAAATATTAATATAAATTACAATTTTTTTTACTCACAACTTAAAAAAAATCCACTAATTATTATATTACGTAAAAATCTAATTTACTAATTATTATAATATATTTAAATAAAAAACTTGGAAGATATTGATAACAAATGAAAAATATTAATTAACTAACTACATATCAATAATAATAATAATAAAAATGCTAATATATATATATATATATATATAAAATGCTAAATTACGAAAACTGATATTTTTCATAGTGAAACTTTATGAAAGGATGGATTACCCTTATTAATCTTTCACACGTAGCTGCTGAAAATATTAAAAAAAATATATTTATAATGGTGGGGATCGGTCTTCTAGATTGTGGCGGAGGATATTCCACAAGCCACATTCACATCAAATTCACACTTTTCATAGTTTCTTTGATACTTTTGTTCCATTAAGAAAATTAATCTCATAATTTTCTCTTTCAAATAAAATAATAAAAAATTATTTTCACATATTTTAAAATAAGTAGTATTACATGCTAAATAACATGTATCCTATAGCAATTAAATAATTAAAACAGTGTCAGTATGTATAATTATAAATTGACCCCAAACAAAATTTATATTCAAATTTTATTGTTATGATAATTATAAAATAAATAAATAATGAAATGTATATTTATTTATTTTTCTTTGCAAAGACATTTATAAAAAAGATGTAAAAAAAAGAGAGAAAATTCATTGAAAATGGGAGTGATGTTACGCGGGGATGGACAGTGTCCACGTATATATACAAACATATGAATGGCGTAGCTGAGACAAACGCCGTCACAGTGGGGAGGTTGTTGGTTATTGTTTCTGTGGCTTCACTCACTCACTCTCTCGTTTCAGCCGTCACAAAACATGGCTATGCTCTAATCGCTGGGAACCTGTGATCTTAATTTCTCAACCAGTTAACTTTATTTTCCCTTAAAATAAAAGTATAAGGTTAGGGTTTCCATGGCTTCGGAGACAAAGATCGTGAATCTGGCTGAGGAAGCCAAGCTCGCCAGGGAAGGGGTGAAGACTCCCTCCTATGCTTTTACCACCATCTGCAAGTCTCTCGTCGCCGGTGGAGTCGCCGGAGGAGTGTCCGTCCCATTTCTTCAACTTCTATTTTTTCTTTTCTTTTCTTCCGGGGAACACTCACAAACACACACTGACATATGCGTATATGTATGCATTGACTGCATGCTTAATCAATTTTAAAAGAATTTGATTAATCTGAAATAGCTTTTTTTTTTTTTTTTTTCTTATGTTAGTGTTTCCGGAAATTTCGACGCAGGTTGCGTAGAAGCCTCCTAGATTAGTATTAATAATTAAAGTGTAATGTTTCACTCTCTGGGAGCAATGAAGCACTTGGTTTTCTATTTCGTGAAATCTCTTCCTCTGTTTCTATTTTTTTTGTCTTTTTATTTATTTAATGGAATATGATATGATGTACTAAACATATGTCTGTAACTGTTCACTTGGGAATTTGCAAAAATAGGTTTCTGTTGATCTCCCTGTATATGGATTATATCAATTGTATTAGATAAGCGCGAATTTTGGGTCTATGTAAGAAGCTTAATTTTCTTTTGTTTATGTAAGTACTTATTTTTTAGGCAAATTATTAAAATTTCCGTAAAACTGATCTGTGTTAAAATCTGTGTCCTTAGTGGAATGAATTTAGTATGTTCCTGTCCAATATAAGAATCCGCTTAAATTTGGAGTTCATTGGTGCAGTTATATTGTTGGATATATCTTAGAGATAATTTCAACATCCTTTTTGGCATTATGTTTATTCGTGGTTGACTTGAAACCTTTTTGTATCTATGTAGATCACGAACGGCAGTTGCTCCTCTGGAAAGGTTGAAGATTTTGCTACAGGTTAATCAATTTAGTTGTTTACTTCGAAATGTGTTTTAGCTGTCATTTATTCTTATCTGTGATAAAAAGAAGTGCATCTGACAAGCAAACCATTTTTGTTGGTGCCTGGATGTATCAATATCATACGTGTGATGTGATTTACATTTTCCATTCACAGGTTCAGAATCCACACAACATAAAATACAATGGAACAATTCAAGGTCTTAAATATATATGGAGAACTGAAGGTTTTCGTGGGCTGTTCAAAGGGAATGGTACTAATTGTGCTCGTATTGTCCCGAATTCTGCGGTGAAGTTCTTCAGTTATGAGCAAGCTTCCAAGTAAGCTTTCCTTTAGATATACCATCATGTACTGCACTTTTATGCCGAAAAACTTGTAATTCTGTGATCCTTTTTTATTTTTTATTTTTCAAAACAATGTTCTTTAAACAGAGGGTCACTTACTTTCTTGCAAAGAAATTTCAATCTTTATTTCTATGCATTTCATATGGAACACTTTTTCCTCTGCTTTACTGAATGTTCTTTTTCTGGCAGGGGTATACTACAACTGTATCAGAAACAAACTGGAAATGGTACGTCCATGTGTATTAAATTAAATTCCCCTTCTGTTGTATGTGTATCATTGTTGAGGGAGGGGCAGGTCAGTAGCTTGTTTTGGATTTTACATAATTTTGAGGGGAAATCATTTTTTTGAAAGGAGAAAACTTACTCGCCGTTCTTTTGGTGCCGTTCTCTTGTAGAGCATGACATGCGTTTTAATTTTGAACCACTTCATCCTCCTATTTAAAGTTTTTATTATTGTGTATAACATTACTATTCATTCTGTTTTATATTGGAGTGCAACGGTACAAGTATGTATACGAACTCTATCATTTTCCCTTTTTCATAATCTCTTTTAGTAAGATTTTGATCATAAATTGTTTTGAGCTCAGAATAAGCCAATCCTAAGACACACTAGGTTGACTTCAATAATTTATTTTTCAAAAATACATCTAAAAATAATCAAATGGAAACAATTAGGTCTAAATAATTTTCTCATAATAAAAACCATTCTTCTAAAATTATTATTTTTCTTGTACTTCGGCAGAGGATGCTCAGCTGACTCCTCTTTTGCGTCTTGGGGCTGGAGCTTGTGCGGGAATAATTGCCATGTCTGCAACTTATCCGATGGACATGGTTCGAGGCAGAATAACTGTACAGGTACTTTCTTTTTTCTTTCTACCCAGTCCTTACTTTTGGTCAGAAAACTAGCTGCAAATGCATAAAATTAAGATAGTTTTATAGCTACAAATGTAAGTAGAAAAGGTTTTGTTTCAAGTATCATAATGTTTTTTGTTGTCTTAATACAACAGTAAGTTTGCTTTTCCTTGTATTTGCAGACAGAGAAGTCCCCTTACCAGTATAGAGGAATGTTTCATGCTCTGTCAACTGTACTCAGAGAAGAAGGTCCACGTGCTTTATATAAGGGTTGGCTTCCTTCAGTCATTGGAGTTGTGAGTAATGTTTCTAGAAATTCATGTTGCATTTAATAGTAACAATGTAGGACCTGCAGGTTGCAGTTGGGGGAGGGGGAGAACCTATGCAGCACTGACTTGATTTTGTTGAGTGGTTGTCAATGTCTACCCCCTCCTTAGGGGACAATTTAATACCATTGCTTTTTGGCGCCACTTATAGATGTGGGGTGTATTGGTAAGGATGTGTGACTAAGGTCTTCAGTGAGTTATTCCTGGTTATTATCAGTAGATCGATAGCATACATTCAGTAAGTTGAGCAGAACATAGAATCAACATGGGGCAGTAAGATTGATCATAAAGGTGCACCTAAAGTTGCTATGCTTGGTTTTAATGAGTTAGACACTTTCTATTTAACTATATTTTGCAATAATTGTTCTTCTACTGGAAAATGTTTCCAAGAACATTTTTTTTACGTAAAGTCTCACCACTCTTCAATGCTCTGACACACTCCATAGTAAGTTCTATTAATTGGTATTACTGAGGGTTTATGGTGACAACGTTTTACCTGGTTATGGTAGGTTCTAGGTGGAAAATAGCCAGGTATAAAAGACACTAAAATCTAAATCATGCTTCAGTAAAGTGCTCAAGTTTTGCGCAAACCCAGAAAAGAGTTGGGGCAAACAAAGAAAGATTTTATTGAAAGAATGAAAATGAATGGAACAAAGGAGATAAATCTCTCCGTCCTGTCATGGCACCATCTCCACAAAGGATGAACAGATCTCTGCATTCACAAATAGCCAAGGCTCAATTTACAAATAATAGCTGACAAAATGAATTCCCCTCCCGTCACTCCTATTTATTTATATCACTAACACCCTCCTAACTATCTAACTATTAGCTAATATCCCAGCTGTACTGATTTACTATCTCTTCCCTTTCCCAACTCCTAAAAGATTATAGAGATGTGAACAGTTACTCTTCTAAAATATTCTGTGTGCTATGTAATTATATTTAACTAACTGAAGTTTGCTTTAATTTTGAATGAGAACTCTCTTTCTCGGTTCTGTCATCAGACTTATTGACTTAATATTCTCTTACTCGTTATTTGTTCCTTTTTGTCAGATTCCTTATGTCGGTCTCAACTTTGCTGTGTATGAGTCTTTGAAAGATTGGTTAGTTAAATCCAATCCATTTGGTATAGTTCAAGATTCTGAGCTGAGTGTGACAACTCGCCTGGCTTGTGGTGCTGCAGCTGGAACTATGGGACAAACTGTTGCTTACCCTCTTGATGTCATTCGTCGAAGAATGCAGATGGTGGGTTGGAACCATGCTGCTTCTGTTGTAGCTGGTGATGGAAGAGGGAAGGTACCGCTTGAATACACTGGCATGATTGACGCATTTAGGAAAACTGTTCGGTATGAGGGCTTTGGTGCATTATACAAGGGTCTGGTGCCAAATTCTGTAAAGGTCAGACTTCATCTAGTAGTCATGAATTATGTATGTTCTGAAAAAATGTGGGTAAACATATCTCTGCATAAACATATGCATTCATTGAGAGAGTAAGGTTTTGTTCTATTCTTTTGAAGAGGATATTATTATTAATGTACTGTATCTATGAACACTTAAAACAAGTTTGTGCATGCATATGTTACGTTAATAATTTCTGTGTGCGATTCCTCTATCATAAGTGTTACTTCCCTGATTAAAGCTGTGAACTTAACAAGCTTCTACCCGATTAGAACTAAGTCTGCTTTTCAAGTAGCTACTGCATGTCTCAAAGTGTCTGTAGTCTGAGTTAAACATTTCATATTTTGGACTTAAATTATTTACTAGTCCAGCTCAGTTTGAGGTCAGCTTGATGAAATGCATGATCAACTACCAATAATCACTTGCTATCTTAGGTTTTTATTATTATTAACCTTCTTTCATATATTCTCTATCTAAGAGTAATAAACAATCTTTGACGTTTTACAGGTGATAACGTTGTTTAAGAGTCATTAATTTAGGAATTGGTTATAAAATCTTGGTTTTGTGTGGAACCACGCTAATCAGTGCACTTTCCATAGCAACCTCCATCTAAAGCAATCAACTGAAGATATGACTTTTTTCAATATTGACCTGAAATTATTTGGAAATTGTATTAAAGTTAGTTAACCTGTCTTGACCTCTTGCAGGTGGTCCCATCGATAGCAATTGCGTTTGTAACGTATGAGGTGGTGAAGGACATTTTAGGTGTGGAGATCAGAATATCAGACTGAAGAGTGTCTTCCATCTGTTATTTGATTACCTGTTGTTGTTTTCTTGTAGGCAAGGGGATGCGCAGAGATGCAAAATTAATGTTATTTGCTTGGTTTTCATCTCTTGAATGAGTTAGGAAGCATTTAAGTTATTAGTGTGTATAAATTATTTCCCTTGTATCCCATTTGTTTTTCCCTGTGAACATGATGTAGCGTTTAGCTTCGTATTCATCTTCTATGGCAATAAATGTCGAGGAAAAAAAAATGCAAAGACTTATCTGTATGTAATTCTTCATTTTTTTTATTGATGGAATATCCAGTGACTGATTACCGAGGTACACCTCCCTATTCCGTTCTAGAAATCTTACTATCATAGTGTACAATGCAAGTCGCCAAGCATCACTCTTAACACAACAATGGTCCTGCCATTTTACTTCATGCTTTTAAACAGTCCATGAGGTTGCAAGTTCTTCCGTAAAACAAATTGTACATATTACCTTTGAGCTTATTACAATCGAATTGATGGGATATATACATGTAAGTTAAAAGTCGTTTGATGGAAAAATTGACTCAACTTTTATTTATTATCCTTACGAATAGTAAAATATCTCTATATATAAACACATGTCATGGGCGTATACTTTGGTTGTAAAATGTGGTTCTTGAATAATTAAATAAAAAGGTGGGTTTATTCATTGGAAATATATGTGGCTACTGAGGCCGGATGAGATATGTCAATATCCGAATTCTTATTCCCAAATCTTTTTAGAATCTGATAAAGAGCAATGTGATTTTCAATGGCAAGTCTTTCCCCCAACTATATAGTTAGCCATTCAAGTGCTGCCAATTGACAGCTTGTTTGGCAATTTATGCTTACAGAATTTTGTTTGCAAACTTTTAGAAAGAATCACATAATTTAGGAAAACTCTGTGAAAAGAAGAAATTATTTCTTCATAACAAGGTAATAAACTAGACACGGAACTTAAACTTGAAATAACAAACCAATTCAATCTAATTAATTCTTTAATCTATCATTTTATTAATATTCAATCCTAAACATATTTCTAGTTTTAAATTAGATTGGTTTTTGAACATCCCTACCGATCGGTATATTCTATTAATTTTAATATGGACAAGTAATCATATTCTCTATACTTCATGTCCCAACTAACAAAAAGGTGTTTCATATAATATATACATGAATTGCATCCTTAATGTTAACTGATAGAGTCCGCCATCATTTCTCACTTCAATGATCTAAAGCTTCTAAAATGGTTGTCGTGTACCTTAATGCAGACAAACACTTGTTTACCAAAATCTTGCCATAATCTCTGTATATGTTGACTTGTGCATTCCTCCACAGTAGCAAAATTTTGCTTCACATTTTTCTTCCATGCCTGAACGCAAGAACTATGCTTAAGCTCTAAATTTGAAACATTTTTCGAAAAGAGAAATGTAATAAATGATATGATGTGTAGAAGCTTAATTACCTGGAGTCTTTTACGCTAGTTTGAAATCTTGATGAAACTGGTTTTTTCCCAAGCTTAGGCTCATGTCTCGCTCGTTTCTTACTTCGTAATCTTGATATGCATGTTCTAGTTGCAGCAACCTCATCTTTTATTATCTTCTGTTCACTCTCCTCACATTCTATGCACTCGTCCTTTGAGAAGTAGAATAACGAAAGCAACACAAGCAACATGTTTAGCTCAGCCAGAGATGCATTTGACATATGTGAATCACTCAATGCACCACCATTATCATTTTCTTCCCCTTCACACTCTTCCATCCTATCTATCTCACTGTCACTTTCTTTCTCTGCCTCTGCCATATTATGAATTTGGGTCTTCAAATCAAACCAAGATTTTAAACTGTCTGCATCTATTGATTTTCCTGCAAGTGCTTGTCTATGCATGCTTGAAACTGTTATTAAATAAAGAGATCAGAACAATAAAATGTAAGAGAAATTGAAGGATAAATTGAGGATTGACCTAATTTGAGTTGAGCTTAGGTTTGGATACAATTCGATTCTCAATTCCATGATTCCAAATTTGGGTTTGTTTTTCAAAGTGTGAGGTTCTAAACTGACTCTTCCCCTCTCTATCCATAATTGGTTGATACAATATATGGTGGAGAAAATATAAGACATTGTAACCGTGACTCGGGTATTTGTGGCTTTCTCAAATTAAGCTTCCCCCAGTTTAGCCATCATCATTTATTTCCATACTATCAATATATATTTTTACAAAATTATGATGATGAAAATAAAGTGGTTTAATATGATTTTTTATGAAAGTACTAATATTTATTAGTAAAATTTAAAAATGAAAAATTATCAATTTTTGTTTTTGTTTTTGTTTTAAGTTTTCAAAATTAAAAAAAAATTATTTTAACAGTTATCGAACAAGTTTTAAATTTTAAAAATTAAAAATTAAAACTTTTTTTAATAATAAACAATAAATACTTTATTAAATATAACATATTTGAATTTGTAACAATTTGTAATTATATTATAAAATAAAAATTCATTTGAGTTTATATTTAATTTTTGTAATTTAAGACATTAATCTATTGATTTCCAAATAATACTTTGGTCTTAAATAACGGGGACACGCGCCAAAGCACTCCATAGCGTAAGAAAGTTGGCACTAAAAGGTGCGTTTGAGCGCGTGTTTCGTGAGCCTCTCTGCGTGGATCTGCAGAAGAGTTAGAAGATGCAGTGGTACTTCGTCGCTGCGCTCCTCACCGTTCTCACCAGTTCTCAGGTCTCTCCTGCTTTCTTCCATTCCTCCATATCCTCACATTCAAACCCTAATTCCAACCATTTGCATCTTCCATTCACACGCACTTTTATTTTGTTAATGTTAATTTGATTTCGATAAATTTCACGTGGCAGGGAATACTCACAACCCTCTCGCAAAGTAACGGAGAGTACAAGTATGATTATGCCACAGTCCCATTTCTCGCCGAGGTTTTCAAGGTAAATTAATAAACACTTCATGCGTCAATTTTATTTGATAGGAACCGAGTTTTGATGCTGCATAACAGCGGTTGCTTATTTCATCTTTGCTAAACACTCAGCTTGCGGTGTCAAGTTTGTTATTGTGGAGGGAATGCCAAAAGTCACCTCTGCCAAAGATGACGACAGAGTGGAAAACGGTTGCCCTGTTCCCGATTCCCTCAGTTATATATCTCATCCACAATAATGTGCAGTTTGCTACACTCACTTATGTGGACACTTCCACCTATCAGATAATGGGAAATTTGAAGATTGTTACGACTGGGGTACTATTCAGGTGCCTTCTCTTTTCACAGTTCAGATTTCAGATCAGTGTTGTTGTTTTCTCAGTTAGTGACTTTCTTTTATTTCTTTGTAGGATGTTCTTAGGTAGGAGGCTTTCTAACTTGCAGTGGATGGCTATTGTGTTATTGGCTGTCGGGACAACCACTAGTCAGGTGCCAGAAAATTGTGTCTCACAAATTTGGTTTTGTGCCTTTTAAATTTTGTTTATAAGAAGTTATCTACTGTGCTTTATGCATTGTTTGATATGGATAATGAACTTAGTGTTGAGGATTTATGCATTGTTTGATATGGATAATGAACTTAAAATCAGTGTTGAGGAGTTAGATGAATATCTAGTTCCGACGTTTGTTAGGGTTGTGTAGCTGTGATGCAATAGGTCTGGATAAGTTTTATTTGTCATTTTCTTATGCGTCACTCTCATCTCCTAAGGTCATTTTCATACAGAAAAATGATTCCTTTGTTGTTTCCTTTTGGAAGATGCCTCACTTGCACTACTTCTACTATATCCTTTCCTTCTCTAAACAATATTTATTGTTTTCCCTAAATGTCCATAACTTCTAAAACTGCATTGGTCATGATATTGAGTCATAGCATGTTAAACGTGATTTATTCTGTGATAATTGTAACCTGTTAAGATCCTGATAGCTTCAAATATTAAAGTTTGAGTAGTGCATTTTGGATTAAAAAGGTTTGAAATAAAGTCCACAAGCTTTGGCTTCCTCTGCTGACATTTTTACATGGAATCAGAAAGCTTCTATTAATTTAGATGGCACCTGTATTATTCTGATGGAAATTAAACCGAGCCTCTCTTTAGTGAGAGGAAGAAGTGCCTTTTGGGGAGGACAAGCAATCTTCCTAAATCAAAATAAAACGAAAAACAGTGAGACAGATGGGTAACGAATCACAAATGGAACAGATTTGTCCTCGTTGTCATTAGTAGCAGAAATTCCGTTGAAATATCCACGAGTACAAGACCTAAGAGATTTAAATAGCTAGCATGTAAAATTATACAATTTTGAAGCATAAATACATTTTTGTTCTGTTCTGTATTTTTTGTTTTTGTGGTCAATGGTTTATATATTAGGTAAATTAGTCCTATCATAAAAATGTATTTTAGACAGACCACTACTGTTTGTTGATTTAGGTTAGGGGCTGTGGAGAGACTTCCTGTGACTCCCTTTTCTCAGCACCAATTCAGGGCTACATGTTAGGAGTTCTATCTGCCTGTCTCTCAGCATTAGCTGGAGTTTATACCGAGTTCTTGATGAAGAAAAACAATGACAGCTTATACTGGCAGAATATGCAGTTGTACACGTAGGTATTTTTTCTTGATTTTGTTAAATGTCTACAAATGTACTGGCACATGTGTCATTTTTTTAATCTTTTGAACTGTTTATTTCAGAAGCAATTTTTTCACTTTTTATTCTCCCTAGCCTATTAAATGAATGTGGTAATTTTGAATGTGGTCATTTTATGTATCAAGAAATGAGTATTTTGTTTTTCACTTTCTAAGAAGGAGCAGAGCATCTATTACTAATACTATTGAATTCATGCAGTTTATCCAATGTAGATTCCTAATTCCTAAATCTTTCACGTTTTTGTGATTTTTCTGCTAGTTTTTGGTGGTACCTGTATCATATATTATTTGATTTGTATTTCCATGTTTGTTGGAATATTTGGTAAAATAAACATGTGGTACCTTTTTTTTTGGCTAATGTTTCTGAATTTCTTTATTAATTAAGAAGATTTTTATTTCCGCACTGTTCTCTGTGAGAAAGAAATTAATGTTTCTGCAAAATCGGAAGAGGTGTCACTCAGGGAATGAATATGATTACTTTTAATACTTAGAGGAATACACACAAAGATAAATATTTTTACAGGTTTGGCACACTTTTCAATATGGCAAGACTACTTGTGGATGATTTCAGAGGTGGATTTGAAAATGGACCATGGTGGCAACGTATTTTCAATGGGTACACTACCACTACCTGGATGGTGGTATTGAATTTAGGGTCTACTGGTCTTTTGGTTTCATGGTTAATGAAACATGCAGATAATATTGTAAAGGTATATCCATGAACCCTCCTGCCAGCATCCTTTTCTCTTGTGTTTATTTACATACTTAATCTATCTTATCGTAGAACTTGGTGCTGAGTTTACCTCTAAAGAAGAATTTTTTTCGTACAACGGAAATAATTATGTGACACTAAAATTAGTAAATAAGTATAACATCACAATATATGGTATTTGTTTGTTTATTTCTCTCCTAATTATTAGTTGCTTATGCTTTCTTTAGGTCTATTCCACATCAATGGCGATGTTGCTGACAATGATACTTTCACTATTTCTCTTCAACTTCAAACCTACATTGCAGGTAAATTTTAGCGGCCTAAACAATTTCTATAAATGTAGGCTTCTATTCCATACCCTCTATCCCAACTGAACGTTTAACTCAAATCAATTTGTTGCACGTAATTTTGCGGGTGTGGCTGTATTATATGTTCTCAGGCTATAAGTGGTTGGTTATTAATTTTTTGTTTTATTTTTTCCTCTTTGCAGCTTTTCTTGGGCATTATCATTTGTATGATGTCTCTACACATGTATTTTGCCCCAACAAACATGCTCTTGGATATGCCACAAACAGTTAAACCAGATGAGGAGAAGCTCATTGAAGTTTCTGTTGATCGAAGAACACATTCATGATGTTGTATTGACGTCTGAATACAATGCTGGGGTAATAAACACTTATTTATCGTGTTTTATTTTATTTTCTAAATCAAACAAAATATTCTCGGACAACATCTAAAATTGTATCAAACAAAATATTCCCATACAGCATTTAAAATTGTTGCATAATGTGTGTAGGATTAAGAAAATACTTATTTGATATTAAACAAGGCTTTCTTCCTCGTGTCATGCTTTTAGTAGTGGAAAGCCACAAATTGCCCCCTGTTCATGAGGTTACGGTCGTGTATGGTTTAACCCTTCGAAAATGTCAGAAACCTCATGCATTGGCCTCTCTTTAAGTATTTAGTTATATGTAAGTGTGTATAACTGCACAAACGTCATATTATATCCTTTGATTTTATGTAATGGTTATTTGTGCGCTGTTCTGTATGAACTATGACCTCATGAGTTCGCCGGGGGTGAGGGGGATGCAGTACTCTGAATATCAATTTGAAAACAGGATATTTTAGTTTTTTTGGGTATGCGATAGTACACTGCGTTTAAATATATCAGTGTTGAAGTTTTCTCTAGATTGAAAGACAATTACATGTCTCTTTGTGCTAATTCTACTTTTCGATTTATGATATATATACGCTTCAGTGGTATCAGAAATATAGGTGGCCACAAATGTTTGCAAATTGTACCAGCGTTCGTTAATTTAATGTACTTGTTATTTCACTTGAAAGCAAGCGATTGGTAATTTTGGTTGTCAGTATTTTTTTATTGGTTCTGCAGGTAATTAATTTGTCCGATCCCAGGTATTCCTGTAAGGCCTATTAAAGTCAACAGTAGAGCAGAAATGCTGAATATTGTTCCACGCTGCATTGATTCAGTGACTTTGTAGAGCATAGGCATCTTCGGTGGTGTGACTCAAACTCTATGTAGCAAATTCGGAAACCCATCTGTTGCCTGTGTTTAGATATATTAAAAGAGGATATTGAAGGAAAAGTTTGTTGACGAAAGTGAGCAGAATGTGGTTTAGACGGAAATAGAAAGCCATTGGCTTTTTGTAAGTCTGTAACTTCTCTAGCTGGTAGTAAGCGATAGCGGTGTTACCCATTGACACAAAGTCACATGAAGTCCAGCCACCAATTTGGTCCATCATTCTACCTTGTTGCTGTATTGTCTAAAGAATTTTTAATGAATTTAAATAGAGTTGTTTTACAGTTTGATGCTTATATCAAATGCACCTTTTTTGTTATATTTTGATGAGCATACATGCAAGGCACATTGATTCAGGGGAAATGCATTATATTTCCATCCAAGTAGTGATTGGGTCGTACGGAGCTGAAGTTTGTATCCATCTTTAGCTGCAATTATTTGGAGAAAAAGGTCGTTGGGTGAAAGTGAGGTTAATCATCAACATTCTATGAATAAAAAAAAGGAAGATGAATAATAAGAAGAAAAAAAACATCAAGTTCTGCATTGACTGGCATTCGTTTGATATGGTGAAGGAAAGGTCACCTTTTTCCTTCTCAATTCGGATGTAATCATGCATTGAGCTTCTTGGCTCGAAGTTGCCATAAATGAAGTTTTACTGTTTAAGAAATAAGTGACAGATGAATGAAGTTTGAATAATCTTAAAGAAGCGTTCTATTTTTTAGCATATAATATTAATAGTTAGGCAAATAAGAGTATAGTGGTAACGAAATTCATATTTAATAAAAATTATCGATTCGAGAATAATTTAAACGTTGGATGGGGGTGAGATGCAAGAAAGGCAGAGAAGGGTGTAGGGGATATCTGGGTATCAATCAGTGCATATTGAAGAGGTGGTTGGCTTGTCAAACATCGATCACACTGCTGTAATTGTGGCAAGGGAAGAATTAAAAATGGATTGGGGAGACTTTTGTCACTCATGCACTCTCGGGATGATTAGGTTAGAGCTTTTTCCTACTTTTCTCTTTAACCTTTATATTTTATTGACTCAAGTGGATCTAATTTTTTTTTATTTATTTAAGATTATTCAAAGTTTAGTTTTCTATTATTTGTAAGCTATGGTTACAAAGTTTAGTTATCTTATTCTAAGTTTTGAGTATTTATGTTTCTACTTTTTTTTTTTTTATCGGCAAAAACTATGTTGTGCAAATGAACTCTTTGCTCAGCTGATAAAGATTGTGTAAATTCAACCATAATGGTAGATCCATAATTGTTCACTGGTTCTAATAATTAACGGTAAAACAGTGACTTTCATTTTATAGAAGTATAACCTATATAAACAGTGAATTTCATTGTATATTTTTTGCAGACTAAATTATAAGTATTTGTTTAGAGTTGTTTATTAATATGGTCAACAATCTTAGACATAAAAAAATATTAGTAATTAGAAATTGTTAACAATAGACAAGCATAGAAAATATTGCATCATGGTTACCCAGGACCCTTTTTGAACTTGTTAAAAAAAGAGTGCATTTTTAACAAATGGTCGCCATAGAAAAGCAAAGATTACATTTTGAGCAAGAATGTTAAATCATATGATTTCAATCATGTATCTATTTTGTTCATTGCTTTTATTCTTTAAATTCAATTCCTATTCAATCTCTTATTTTTATTTATTAATTATTACTACTGTTTACTTGTATTTCGATAAATAAAAAAAAGATAAACTTTGTCAGTCTTTATAAATTTTGATCCTTTTCTTTGCTTTATTCAAGTAACTTTTATGAAAAAAGAACAGGATTAAAATGTATTGGTTCTATACCCATTACGAACCTTACTACGGTTGATTTTATACTTTGCAGCAGTTTGGTTGAATTATGTTTTTCTTACATTAACAAATAATTACACTTTTAATTTTTTAAATATAACAACTATAAAATTTTGTTATATGTTAGTTTAATTGAACAAAATATGATTGATGTATGATAATCAATTTAAAATAATTTTTTATCAAAGTAAAAAAAATAATATTTCCACTATAAAAAATTTACTCCATATAAAAACACAAATATTGGTATAAAAGTATGAAAAGCAAAAGTAAACTAAGAAAGAGTCTTCTGAAAATAGACATGAAAAATAAAGAAATAATTTAAGAACATAGAGTTGAGAGCAGTAGGTGGTAGTAATTGATGAGCAGTGTATGTGAAGTGAGAGCTGAGAAAACAAAAACAAAGGCAAAGTAAGGAAGGAACAAAAGAAGGCAAAATTTTGAATTGATTTGAGGGTCATTTTGTTTTTGAAAAAAAAAAAGAGTCTTCCCCGCCACCAAACCCTAGCTAGCACTGCAAAAATGCCGAGGGAAATCATCACTCTTCAGGTTGGCCAATGTGGGAATCAGATCGGCATGGAGTTCTGGAAGCAACTCTGCCTCGAACATGGTATCAGCAAAGACGGCATCCTCGAAGACTTCGCTACTCAGGTTCAATTTCAAATCTCCATTTTTATTTCCGTCTTTCAAAACACAATAGTTTCATTCTTTGGCTAATGCACTCTGTCCCGGGTTTGAAGGGGAATGTTCATGAATTCGTCGCTGGAGTTTACGTTACGTGGATACCTGTATCTCAGGATGTTAGATATTTACTCAATTTTGCCATCTTTGCATTTATCTCAATTCTCCACGGTCCACTTTTGGACTCTGTTAAGTTTTGTTAATTCTGGACATGGGAGTAGTGCCCTTTTTCTTGTTATGGAGATGACATCTAAATGTCTTTTTTCCATCTCTTGTGTTATTTTAAAAGCGGGGAACTGGGGATTTTCACCTTTGAGTTCTTGAACTCTCCACTGATAGTTTTTTTCATGTCTTACTGTGGCTGGCTTCGTAAGTTACTAGTTCCCGTAAGTCCCCGAAAATTGTTTCTGCTGAAGGTTTCTTGCTTCCACTCTTATGTGAACTTGATTTAACTATGAATTTTGATTGGTGGCCGATGAATGATTAGAAGCAATCAATAAGTATGCATCGTTACCCATCTTGCGATTGCTGGCTATTAGTTCTGCATTTGCTTATTTCAGTCAAAATGCTGCAGGGAGGTGATCGGAAAGACGTGTTCTTCTACCAAGCTGATGACCAGCATTATATACCGCGGTCTCTCCTGATTGACTTGGAGCCAAGAGTGATTAATGGAATTCAAAATAGTGACTACCGAAATCTCTACAATCATGAGAACATTTTTGTCTCAGATCATGGAGGTGGTGCAGGAAACAATTGGGCCAGTGGATATGATCAGGTTTGTTACTACCTACTACATCATTTTGTAATTAAGATTTGCCAACCGGTGATTTGCTTTGTGTCTTTATTACTTCTAAGAACCTTCTCTATACTTAGCAATAAGTTTTGTTTGTTTTAAAGTTACAAATTCAATTCTTGTACTTTCCAATGAAAGACATGCGTTCCAATGTCTCTGATGTTTATTGAATCACAAACTGACAGTAGATTATTGTTTAAAAATGTTGCTTCACAAATCATGTATAGTCGTAGGCCAAACATCTAGACATGCATAACATTTGTTTGTTTTATAGAACTAGAAATGCCTGAGATTGTTTGACCTGATGCTATCAGCCTTGTACATAAGCAGTTTATGCCGAACCTGATTTATACTTTTCAAGCAACTTTACAAATGACAATCCTGACAAGTCTACTACAGAAATTATTTCAACTGTTTTTAAACATTTGGAAGATCTTGGTACGCAATATCCTATAAGTGGTAAAGTTATTGTTTAACTAATGTGGTTGTTAATATCTATGCAGGGACAACATGTTGAAGAAGAAATAATGGACATGATTGACAGAGAAGCAGATGGAAGTGACAGTCTTGAGGGGTTTGTTCTATGTCATTCAATTGCTGGAGGAACAGGCTCAGGTGTCTTTTCCTCTCATCTTTGCCTGAAAGATTTTAAAAAGTTTCGTCCTATTTTCTTTATTGGGTACATCTGAAAAAGAAAAAGATTTTTTAAATGATAGACTAAATTGCACCTGCTTCATGCACTTAATTCAACTAAACATTTAATTAATTGTACACTTGAGAGAGGAGATTGAATGT